TGTTTTGTTCCTTCTTATTGCTCCACGTAGTCATATCTTAGTCCTCATCTTCATCCGCTTCATCGTTCCCCTCCTTCCAGCCATCCCCACCACCAACCTCACCCGTCCAAACCGGCCAGCCATGGCTCCCTAGCCGCCGGCCTCACCTTTCCCTCTTCCTTCTTGAGTAACCTAATTTGGGGTGAATGACATTTGGACTTAATTTGAAATTCAAATTATCTAAATTTGATATTCAAAATTTATTTCCTAATTTAGTTCGCCTCAATTAGGAAAGCATTTAATTTAAATCAATTTGAATTTGGGTGAGCAAATCTTGGGTAGCTGTCAAATTCAAATTCATGAAATTTGACAATTGAAAAGTTTTCCTAATTTGCCGTTCTATTTTTGGAAAGTACTTATCTAGATCTACTTGAAATTTAAATTTAGAAGGATTTTAAATAAATACTTCCTAAAGTCAATCCCTAAATCTAGGAGCCATAATACACCTCAATTAAAGCTCTCCATAATCCCAGCCCTCCCACTAATATCGCCAGCCCCATTAGCTGAGTTGGGAATTATTTCCTAAAGCTTAAATCTGGCATTTAGGCAATAAATCCATATCATCTCAAATCCCCTCTAGCCGAAATCCCCTCATGCCTATTTCTATTTGATTAATTCCAAAAGGAAAAGTCCTGTTTGGAAACAAATCAATCCTTTTTCCCCAATCTCAGGAACCGAATTTTACAAAAGCAAAAAAGCCTTAATTTATTTCCTAAAACCTGACTTCAGGATTAGGAAATAAATTCTTATTCCTCCCACCACCTCATCCGGCCTGGCCCCTTGCTGAAATTTTTCTAAAATATTTCCCTTGATGCATTGTCTTCCTTGGGAAATAATTTAAACCCCTTTTACTGCTGGCCGATTTTCCCTAGGCTCCCACCTTGGTTTTCTCTCCAACCTCTCCTCTCCAGCTGGAATACTTCAAGGGAATTAAAGCCACTCAAAAAACCGCAGACATCTCCCTGGTTTCCACCGCCTCTCCCTCAGTCATCCTTCACCAAGACGTGAAGCCCCATTTTCCCCCTTCAAACCTGTTTTCTCCTAGTCTCTGAAATCTGCATTTCTCTCAGATTTTTGGTTAAAATCTGAAACTATATTTCAGATTCTAGGAAGAGTATTTGTGATGTGATACCAAATGCAAGGAGCTTTGTAAGAAATTAAAATTGAGTTGACAAAGAAATTACAACTAATAACTTATGGCGATAGCAAGAAAATCATTAAAATTTCGTAGTTATCAACTAGCTTAGGCGAAGAAGTATGTAGATTAGCCAAAACTTTCAGACAATCAAAAATAGTAGCAACACTAAAAGCTATTACAACAATCCGCCATTTAATAACGAGAAGTTCACCTTGGGGAAATACTCACTCAACTATACTAGGCTTTGCGGGAGAAGAATTTCAGCACACCATACGATGCCACGAGGAAGGTTGTGATGCCAAGGGTCTTGAGCCACGGAGAGGTCGACGATGACGCGGAGGGCGTGAATGCTGGACTTTCGAGACTCCAAGTGTGCTTTGCAAATTTCCGGTCGTAGATGCTCGCAAGGATTGGTACGACTCTTTCCAAGTACTCTTCTACGGTGGTTTCGTCTTCAAATCCTACGTCGAAGCAAGGTGACCGTGATGCTCCCGTCGGCGTTGAACACTAGACCCCACTCAAGCTCGGGATCCGCCATTCAACATTGAAGAGAATTAGGGAGAGAGGTGCCGTCGTCTCTTCCTCTTGCTGAAATTTCCCACGAGAGGGAGTGAGAGGGGCGGTCGGCCAAGACAGGGGAGGAGTGGGCGGGTGGATGCTCTCCTAAACTCTATATTTGTTTCAAGAGGGAAATCTGAACTTCTCTCAGGATTGGGGAACGGTGCCCTTCTTCTACTTCTTGATTGCTGAAATTTCTCTCAGATTTTGGGAGAAAAATCTGAACTGTTTCAGATTTCCTGAAAGGAATTGTTTCAGATTATTGCCATCAATTCTGTTCTACATCAGTTTGGTATCAGAGTATGGACTCGGATCGACTTGGAAGGACTCTAGACTGGGTGGCAGGTCAACTGGGCACCATTAGTCAACATCTCAAGGAGAATCAAGCAGACTTATCTGACTTCCACCGTCAAACAATCGAACAACTCGATAACCTAGTACGAGATAGGACTAACACATCGCTTTACACACCTGCAAGATCCCCTTCCTCAAAGGATAGAAAAAGGGCACTAAGAGACAGAGAGATAAGGGATAGAGTGGACAAATGGATGGAGGCCAATGAAGCTTTCAGTTTCCCAATCACTGTGCAAATCAAAGAGGAACATAAGGCGATCAAGGAAGGACATGAAGAAGAAGATGAATTGGTTGACAAGGAGGAATGCGCGACTGCAAATAATACAGAGGGAGATTTGGTTGATTCAATTGCAACTCCTACAGAAGCAAAGGTTTCTCCTGACCCAGTTAAAACTTCTATAACGAAAAATGTGGATGAATCTCTGGAAGTGACATCCATAATTGGCGAGCTAAAGTGCAACAAGCAAGTTGACCTTGTGGGCAACCGGGACTGTTTGAAAATTGTTGCAAAAAGTCCATTGGGTTTAGTGCTTCCAAATAACAATCCATAGTTGTACAAGAGCAATTGTGATGCTTACTCGACGGAGTCGAGTATTCTCCCACCTGGGGAGAATGATGCGGACATTGGACAAAATGTTTCAATTAATTCAAATAAATCATATTCTCACGAGTGAACGTACGGCTTTAGATTATGAGAAGATATTTAGTTTTACATTTGCATTAGGAATTCAATGTATTTTATAAAGGAAATTCATTATAAAAATGTGAAATCTCGAGCTCAATTCTCGTATGAGAGATTGTAAAATTAATATTTGAACTCGATCCTCTATTGGCAAGCGGACAAAGTTAGCAAGTTTCACATGATAAAATAAAATTATTTAAAACTTTGATGATAGCCGCATTGACAAAAAATATCAACTAAAGGGAAGCTACTTCTCAAAAATACCCCCAAATTTTAAAATGAACTTCATGGGGACATCAGATCATGGAAGGTTTATCAGAGACGTGACCGCCGATCTACGGCCACAATTGAGTCATTGTATTTTTTATTTGCTTATGTATTTTCTTTTTTATGATGTCGTATTGTACTTGCTTAGTTTCTCGTTGTACCCTTTTATTAAGGGATGTCGTATGTAAGCCCTGGGGGCATTTTTGTCTTTTCTATTTTTTGAGTCTAATGTACAAGACTATTTATAGCCCTTATGTTTCTCTTTGAAGTTAATGAATGATTAATCAAAAACTTTGTTTCTCTTGTTTGAATTCTCATGAAAGCTTGAGAGTTGGAGTGAAATCCCGAGGAGAGAGAAGCTTGTGCAATACCCACCAACCTAGACGAGTTGGGTTTGTGATTTTATTTTCGTATCTCCCCCTTTCTCCCTCCACCACCGCCGGCCCCTTCTACCCACAGTTTGTCCCTTCCAAAGCCCCTCCCCTTCCCTCCACCACCAGCACATAAGTTCTTCCACATTGATTGAACCCAACCCTCTCCACTCGATGCTCACCTGACTCCTTTTCCCCACAACCCCCACCCACGGTTTGCTCCCAAACCGCCAGCCCTAGCCCCCTTAGCCGCCGCCCATCACTTCCCACTTCATCCTTGGGTTTCCTAATTTGGTTGTATTTAATTTGGAATCAATTTGAAATTCAAATCATCTAAATTTGAAATTCAAAATTCTTTACTAATTTGTCTCATCTATTTAAGGAAAGTTATTAATTTAAATCTATTTGAAATTCAAATTCAAAATGGATTTGATTAATCTCTTTCCTAATTCCTAAATCCAAATTTAGAAGCCTCAATCTCTCCCATTAATGGCTCCCCTTAGCTCTCAATGTCGCCGGCCCCTATAGGGAAATTTTGGATTTGTTTCCTAAATCCCCTCTAGCCCCCCTTGGAAGTAATTCTAAATATCATCCCCACCTCCTTAGCCGAAATTCCCTAGACCCTTTTATTTAATTTGTTTCCAAAAGAAATCTCCCCTTTTGGAATTAAATTAAATTCACCCACCCTTGCCGCCGCCCCCTCCCCTCTCTTATCCCCTTTTGGAGTTGTTTCAAATTCCAACTCTCTTCCAAGCCAAATCGGAAATTAATTTCAGGTTTTAAACTCTTCCCTCTCTCAAGTTTAAGACAAACTCTTTAGTCTTCTTTCCCCCTTGGCCGGCCTCCTATCACCTCCACTTCTAGAGAAACTTTTTTCTCATCAACGGAAGTTCAAGATTACTAACAATCTTTGGAGGACTTCATCATCTTGCATTCATCGTAGTCCTACATCAGAACTCCAAGCAGAAATTAAAAAAAAAAATGAAAACCCAAAATTTAACAAAATTTAAAATATTTAAGAAAAGTTTACCACTCAAAACTTGAAGCAAAGCCCATCTAACTTCACAAACTCTCCTTGCAAGAGGTTGGGGAGCAGATTTTTGGAGCCAGCAGTTATACCTTCCCCGCATTCAAAAACATAATTACTAATAAATCGAAGCTGAAAAGTGATAAAAGGATGTTCTTTTCTGTTACTCGAGGTATAAACATGCTTCACATATTAGTCCATGTATATTAATATTTTGTTGCTACGAGGCTTACAAAATGTACTTCTTTAGAAAAGGAAAACAATTTTCAAGAAATCAACTGTGATATGACACAATACTATACATAAAGAGATTCGAAAAACTACAGAAAACGCCAATAAATGAGTTTTTTTGTTGCATATTACTAGCGGTTAGACAAGATCCTCTTTACATATTCAATAACTTAAGATTTCTGGTTTATTACAAACAGCATAAGTAGATATGGAGAACATAAATTTGAAAAATAATACCAAAACCACACTTTCTCGAACATCAATGGAATATTTTAGAATAACATATCAAAGAATTAAATCAATTAGCATATTATTTTGTGCAAACAACCATACCTATAGCCTTGAAACGAGTATTGTTCAAGAAGGGCAGAAAACGAAGGATTTTGCCTCAACTGCATATGGCATCAAAACATGCAGTGTTAATATATAAGCAGGAAAAAAGAACATAAACTCACACAAACACCCAACCTTGTCTTGAATCAAGCGAATCCTCCCAATCAGTGGCACCGATAGGCATTCTGCACTACCATCTGACAGTGTAAGCATCAGACGCACAATTAATATACAAGCAGCCATCTACAACAAATTACAAGTGAAACAATTATTTAGCTAATTTGTAGGTCAAATGTTGCACATGAATAGGCAAGAATTACAATCTCATATTGCTGAAAATTATTTGTACCAAAAAATTGTGACACTCTAACACTCTAACCTAGCTGACAATGGATAGGATAGAATGATATTTCTCTTTGGAAAGAAATGCCATGTGAAAGCTTTTATCGGACCATTTTCTGCAAAATATTTAGGCAAGGATTTTTCAAGAAGCACGCTTTGTGTTGGTTAGTTTGGTTTTATTGATAATTTAAGGGCCACGTGGTTCATTTCTGTTCACTTATCAGTGCTAACTACACAACTATGTTTACTAAGATGGCAGAGTAAGTATGGTTGGTTCGAAGTTACTTAAAGAATACAATAGTTTGTACCAAACTAATTTAAATAAGAAAATAATAATCATAATTGATTCAGGAAAACGAAGTGAAAAATTAGACTAACAATTTCTTCCAAATTTTATGAGACATGTTTTAAGCTAAAAAATGGTAAATGAAGAAACTAATTGACTAGCAAGTTAATGACAGCAAATATCATTTCAGAACCTTTTGGAGCATAAAGGACAAACAAAGTACAAGGGCCTCTAGTTAAAAGGGAAGCAGCACCAGCGAAGTACCAATAAAATTAACTGAAGTGCAACTCCTTTTATAGTTTCATAAACTAATGACACAGGTAGAAGAAGCTTAAAGTATTCTATTCTACAAACCCACATCAAGAAGAATTTTTCTAAGAAATTTAAATTATAATATTTTAATAAAATACATTTATTACTTACTTAAAAAAAATCTTAAGTTACTAGCCAGCCAGCCCTTTCCCTCAGCTATCCTGATCCAACATCGCATTCAGCTAGGTTTATCCATAGAAGATGCACGAGGAGGTAATCATGATGGTACAATATTGAGAAGTTACTTAAACCGACAAAGAAGCATGAAAGGAAAAAAAAAACAGCTAGTGGCTTTTGGTTGCATTCCTTTTTGAGCCAACAAAAAAATAAACCCTAAGTTTCGGGTGTGATGGTTGGATCAATCCTCAAAGGTCACTTATCTATTTCATGAAAGTAACAGAGAACTATCTGACATTTATTAAAGATGTCAATTATGAAGGATAATATAAAGATAATTTTCCATTTACAATTTCATCAAAGGGGTAACAATGAAGATTGGGCCCTCAAATGTTATTAAAGTTATTACTGATTATGCATCAATTTGTAAAGCAGTAGGGTTGCTTGTTGCACAAATAAATTCTCGCATCTTCTGGACTCTATGACTTGTGCATACTCTCAATCTTGCTCTAAAGTATATTTAGGCAACCAGAAAAGGACCTTTGATAGTCGAGGAGATCAATTTAAGAAGCAAAAATTTATTCAGAGGCAGCAACAGCAACAATAACCACTACATGTACTATAGATGAAAAGCCTCATACGGGGAAATGCTAGATGAATTCAGAACGATGCTACTTTTATGGAGAGCCTGGGCAAATAATAAGAAAATGTCCAAGGAATGTCTAGGGAGGCAAAGATCAGAGGAATGGTCGGAGGATAGAACAATACAAAACTGCAAGAACAACAATGAAGGAAAAGGGAAAAGCCTCTGGTGGCACAACCAGAAATGTTTAAGCGCAAGTTTTTGAAACCTAGAAGTCGTCAGAAGGTATGATTACTATTTCAGATGTTTCAGCTTGAATACTTTTTTATATTGGTGTTTCATACTCATTAATATTTGAAACTTTCTCTAGCAATTTACAATTAAAGCCCGTTATGTTCAATCCTAGTTTGAGTATTCGATTACTAGACGATTACCAGCCGGTGAATGCATGTTTGCTAGTGCTTCATGTTTAATAGATATCGTGATAACTGGTTTGAAAATTCAAATCTGAGTTAATTATTTTATCTTTAACTAAGTTTGAGGTAATTTTGGGTATAAATGGATTGTTGAAATATTTGCTACTACTGAATGCTGAAAGAGTAGAGTCAAACTTGATTTGTCAGAAGATAGAGTGTTTTACTTTCAATGTGAAAAAGAAGTGATTCATTTATGCTCAATTTTATTAGGTAAAGTCGGTGAATTGATTTTACTGGCTAAGATGGAGGTTAGTAAGGAAGTAAGTGGTGATGTTGATGTTATTAATGTGGTAAAGGAGTTTGTGGATGTATTCCCAGAAGAGATAGTTAACCTCTAGAGAGTCATAGAATTGATGTTCAACCTGGAACCGCATCAATTATGAAAACATCATATAGAATGACAACTTAAGAGCTGCATAAACTAAAAAATTAGTTATTAAAGTTGATTTACAAAGATTTAATTAGACCTAGTACATCTTTCTGAAGTGCGCCAATGTTGTTTGTTAAGAAGAATGATAGTTTGATTTGACTTTGTATTAATTACGAGATTAATAGGGTGACTATAAAAAAGAAATGTGCTCTGTCAAGAATAGATGATTTATTTAATCAATTAGCATAAGCTTCTGTAAACTCAAAGATTGACTAGAAGTCTTGATATTATCAAGCTAGGGAGAAAGAAAGTGATATACGACACTAGATATCAATATTATGAATTTTTGGTTATTCCATTGGATTCACAAATGCAGCATCAATTCTTATGGATATGATGAATAGAATTTTCAGACCTTATATGAATCAGTTTGATGAGGGCATCAGATTTCGACATGTGTACCATCGCCGGGGACGACGATCGACGGCCCTGATTCAGAGCCTTTATCTATGATGCTTTAGTTCTTTTCTTTTATTAGTTATTTCATGTTTCCGTTTGTACATGCTACATCATAGTTTGTGATATTTTTTTATTAATGATATACAGATTTATTCTAAGACTGATGAAGAAAATATTGATTATTTGAGGGTTGTTTTAAGTTTGTTGAGAGAACTAAATTGTTTGTTAAATTCTCTAAATGTGTTTTGACTGACAAGAATTGCATTCTTGAAGCACATTATTAGTGGTGAAAGCATAGCAATCGATCCTGAAAAAGATTAAGACAATTGTTAAATGGCCAAGACACACCAATGTGATGAAAACAGAAGCTTGCGTAGCTTAATTGTTTACTACATATGATTCGTGGTAGATTTTTTCATATTACATTACCCTTATCCAAGCTAACTAAGAAGAAGGTGAAATTTGAGTGGACATTAGTGTGTGAGCAGATCTTTCAAGAGTTAAAGAAGTGCTTGAAATTGGCACTTGTGTTGACCATTCCTATTGGTACGAAGGGATTTCAAATTTTTAGTGATACATCTGATGGGGACATCAGATCATCATGGAGAGTTTATCAGAGACGCGGCCGCTGATCTATGGCCACGATCGAGTCTTTATATTTTTGAGTCGTTGATGTATTTTTATTTTCATGTAGCTTGTTATTTGCTTATGTGGCATTGTGAGCCGTTGTATTTTATTTTATTTTATGTAGTTGCTTATGTGTTTTCTTTCCCGTTGTACCCCTCTTATGAGAGTCGTCGTATGTAAGCCCAAAGGGCGTTTGTGTCTTTTGTTTCGAGTCATGTTGTAGGAGGCTATTTAAAGCCCCACTTTTTTCTATTATGGGTAATGAATGATTATTGAGATTTCTTCCTGCACTTGTGTTTTTGAGAGCCTTTGAGAGTTCTTGGAGAGCTTTGGAGAGATCCCTTGGAGAGGGAGATTGGCGTATCTGATGTAGAACGGGTAGGAGCTCCAAAAAATTTTAGTACAATTTCTTCTTTTGGTTTCCCAAAAAACCTGAGAGAATTCAATGATTCTTTCTAGAGAAGAAGAACCTGAAATTGTGCTCAGGTTTTGCTCCAGAAATCTGAGAGAATTCTCAGATTATTTGGTGTAGGAGATGGGGCTTGGAAGAAGAGAACTCAAAGCATCCAAAGACTTAGCCTAAGGAGAGAAGGTGGAGGTTGGAGAAGTGGGGAGGCGTTCAGATTTTTGTTGGACAGCTGTTTGAAAAGGACTCCCGTTGGTAGGGAGGCCAAGGGAAGATGTCGGAGTCCTGGGACAGCAGTTTTCCTAATGCTGAAGTTCAGAACAGCAGCCAATCTTCTTTTGGATAGCAGTGGGGTTGGCTGAAATTCTTGGACAGCCTGCAGGTGGTGTCCAGAAATCTGGACAGAACTTGGAAACTTCAGGAAGAGAGAAAAATCTGAGAGAAAAGGGCTTGTAGTGGACGGCTAGAGTTGAGGGGATCAGGGAATTGATTGGAGACTTAATTTAGGAAAAATTAAGCAGATAGGGGAGAGTAGGGGGCGGCTAGATGATTGGAGCTTGATTGGGTTTAAATTAGGAAAGGGTTTAATGGGAAAGGGAGGGGCCGGCCATGCCAAAGGGAATTAACTGGGGCTTTTGAATTCTTTCCAATCAATTAATCCTAAATAAAGAAGGAAGATTTAAATTAAATCCCTCCCATAGAATTCAGAATTATTTGATTGAAATTTGATTTAAAACTTTCCTAACATAGATTTCCTATTTTAAGAAAGTGTTCAAATTCAAACCAATTTGAATTTTGAATTCGAAAATTATCCTCATTCCACCCAAATTAAATTTGAATTATATCATGAATGAGATTCAATACTTTCCTAAAATAGCTTTCTAATTTAGGAAACTATTTGAAATTCAAAATTTGAATTTCAAATGATGAAAATAATTTCCTAAATTATTTAAACTCTTTAGGTAAGCATTATGGTGGCATTGATGGAGACAAACAAGGGTGGCCGGCGGTGGAGGAGCTAATGGGGGAAGGTGGCCGGCGGCCAAGGGGAAAAATTTGTTGGAGCTTGGTATGGAGGTGGAAGAAGATGAAGATAACGACGAAGAGCAATAAGAAGGAACAAAAGCAAATAAACAAAATATCAAAGATACAACCGCGAGCCCGGACACATCCTGCGGCTGACGGGTACTACGCTGCCCTTCTCCAAGGGACTTCACGCCACGAGCCCGGACCCATCCTGCGGCTGGTGGAAACTCCGACTCCCT